ATTTAGTATTGCTATCGATACATAAATTTTAAACAAAAAAATTTTGTTATAAAGAAATAAGCCATTCTTAATTAATATTTAACAATGATTTTTAACAATTTTTTGTACATTTCATACTTTTAATGACAAAATAATTATAAATTAGACTACACTATCAAATTCAATCTTGAAATTATTATGAAGTATGCGGTCTAATTGTGTGTGTATGTCTCTTGATACACTTAAATAAAATATAATAACATAAAATAATAAAACTAACCAAACTATTTCTTGCATAAACTTTGCAAGAGAAAATTATAGGAATTTTAACTTTTGCATTTGTAGAATTTGTTTTTAGTTGATTTTATAAAGGATCAAGTTATAAATTTGAGTGATAATATGAATTATGAGTGTTTATTTTTTTAATTATCTAAATAAATCATGTTTTTATTAATATTAATATCAGTATTAATAAATATTAGTAACAAAATATATTTAGTTTTCAAGAAATAGGGAGTGCTTCTCTTTTTTAGGAGATTTATGTCAGTATTATATATACGAGATGAATATTATTAATGCATATATTGCAGATATTGTTTTTTTCAAGCCTTGATTAAAATTAAAATTAATTTAATTAAATTGTTTTATATATTTACAAAAGATGTAAATATAAAATTATACATTTTTTTACAGATTGCTTCATCCGCATCCAAATACTTACACGTATTCGAAACGTTTGGCTGAAACGCTAGTATCCAACGAATACCCCAATTTACCTTGTTGTATCGCTAGACCATCAATCGGTAATTATTATTTACTATAGAAATCAAAGCTTTACACGGTCTAACTGGATCTTAAATGTTTGTATATTTCTTGCGTGAATTTATATATTAATTTATATAGTCTCTAGAAACGCGCGCCGAAATGATTTTTCTTTGAAAACGCTAACTCTACTAAACTATCGCAGTATTATCAGTTAAATTGACTTGATTATTAAAAATTATGAAAATAATATCTCGATGATTGAAAGTGAAGAAAAGTAAAAATTAATTTCTTAATATCTATTTAGTAATACCAAGTTACTCGGAACCGATACCAGGATGGGTCGACAACCTGAACGGACCAACAGGATTGCTTGTCGGTGCAGGCAAAGGTGTCATCAGATCAATGCATTGCAATGGCAATTATCATGCCGAAGTTGTACCAGTCGATTTAGCGATTAACGCTGTAATTACGATTTCATACAAAATTGCTGTATATAAGCAAAAGTAAATATCTTTGTTTTGTTTTATATTGTGTGTGTGTGTGTGTGTGTGTGTGTGTGTGTGTGTGTGTGTGTGTGTGCATGGTGTGTGTGTATGTGCGTGTGTGTGTGTGTGTGTGCGTGCGTGTGATATATGTGTGTGTGTGCTTCCTCTTAATAATAAAACATGATTTAAAATAGAGTGAATTTATTGTCTACGTTTATAAGATCTAGACTACTTGTATTAATGTCTTTTAATTTCTCTTTTCTGTAGTATTTAATATAAAAAGTTATACTCTAAATACAATATTTAAATAGAAATTACGACAAAAAATTTTAACTATAAAACATTTTCAATAAAAAATTTTTTGTTAAATTTTATTGAAAAATATTGACTTATAATTTATAAATTGTTTAACATTAAGGCTTAATTTCACCAATTCTAATTCTTAAAATTAGAAATAGGTAAAGAGTAAGATAAATTAAATTGAGATTAAAGTTAATCTTACATTGGTAGACTCGGACTTAAGAATAAAAAAGTAAATTTTTTGATACATTTTTAGAAATAGATTTTATTTGTTTACACTTAAATAATTATTCTATTTAAGTATTAAAAATATTTTCTGCTTAATTTTTCTTTATTTTTATGTATTTATTACACATTTATTCTTTATTTTTCATATTTGTTATTTACAGACCCAAAACTATACCCGTAATTAATATAACACAGCATAATATAAGACCGATTACATGGGCAGAAATACTACAGAAAGGCAAGAAATGTATTTATGAATATCCTTTTGACGGACAAATTTGGTTTCCGGATGGTGATATACGTAGCAGCAAATTTGTGCATAATCTCTTCGTCTTCTTCTTTCACATTATTCCCGCGTATTTGATCGACTTTCTGATGTTAATATTTCGACAAAAAAGATTGTAAGTTTTACATTTTTTGATAGAAATTATATTTTCAACATATTTATTATAATATATTTTTAGACAATATTATCATGGCTATGTAACAAACTTCCCTCTTATTAACTATTATTTACATTTATTTTGTTTTTATAAACAGTATGGTTAGAATTCAGAAGCGAATCTCAGAAGGGTTGAACGTGTTACAATATTTCACCACGAGGGAATGGGTGTTTTATAATGATAAACTAATTGATTTATTCCGAGAGCTATCGACGGAAGACCAGTTTTTGTTTAATATTTTAATTTATGATATCGATATAGACGAGTATTTAAAAAATATTATCCTTGGCACGCGACAATATTGTATGAAAGAGGATTTGTCTACTCTTCCGAAAGCTCGTCGGCATCAAAGAATGTAAGTATTTTTCATGAAAATTATCACAATGTTTTCATATAGTCGAAGAATAATGATTCCGCAAGATTTACTCCTTATCAATTTCTTTAAAAAAAACTTTTTTAAAGCAGCAATTGTTTCAATTTTTCGATAAACATAAGAAGAATAAATATATAAAATACAATGATTTTTATGTTAATAAAAAATTTTAGTATTTTAGTATTCTTTTTTCTTCTAATTCTTGAAAAGTAACAATTGTCCTAAGAGAAACTGAACACTTTCTATGATGTAGAAAAATAATTATTCATATAAAAGAAACGAACAGTAAGAGAAACTTGATGTTTGAACTTTATTACTTGTTCAAATCAATACATTTTCTTCTTACGCTGATGTGCATTTCTGCATTTTACATTTTATATATTAATTATATGTATATTATATGTATATGTAATTACAGATTTGAATTTTTTTTGAGAAATAAAAAATATTTTAAATTTCCAAAAATTAGGAGAAAGTAAACTAAATCAAACTAATTAATATTACATTATTCTAATTAACTAATATTACATATATTATATTTCAATCGTATTATTAATAGAATTTATACATATTACATCATAATTTAAAATTATTCTGTTAAATTTACGTTAAAATTAAAGTAATTTAAATTTTCAGATTACTTTTTCAATTGTCAACATCTTTTTCTTAAATATATCAAACTTGATTTTTAATATATCATAAAAATTGTATTTTATGATACACGTTTGTTTCAGAATGCACATTATCCATATCACAACGGTGTATTTATTCTACTTTGGCGTGTTATATTTTATTTATAACAATATTGGGATAATGAAGATATGCTTGGATTATGTCATCAACATTATAAAATCACTACCGCTCATAGGCAGTTTACTGAGCAAGATGCATCTTTAAAAGCGTTTTTATATATATATATATATATGTGTTACTCACATGGAATGCAATGAGTAGACGAGGAATTGTAATTTCTCTAACGATTGCGTGATCTCTCAATTCGCTTGTAATTTGATAAGAGGAAAAGCAATTTCATTAAAATGTCAATATAAATGGAAGTATTATTGATACTAACCATAAATTTAATATGTAGATACTAGATTCGGGTGTTTGTAAAAACTGATTACATTAGTTTTAAATTCTCAAAACTTAGACTTTAGGAAACTTTAAAAGTTACACATACGAGATACACGTAATGTAAGAAATTTTTTGTAATATATATTTTGAATAAAAATGTATCAAATACATTTACTATCCAATACATGAACAAACATGTGTAATGGAGGTTTAATAAAGGTTTATGTGAATACAAAAACATTACATTATTTGAGAAAAGGTTTATTGTGCTAATATTACTCATTATTATAATTAAAAGAAATTAAAACTAATTGTGTAATTTATTATATGCATTTATTACTATATGTACTATATCAATGTGTACTATCAATCATTTGAACTTATGAATAAAATATTTTTATGGACTTATTGAACTTATGAATAAAATATGAATTTTTTATTGATGTTCTACTTTTAACAAAAATTTTACTTTTCATTATGTTTAGTAATTTAAAATCAATAATTTTAATTAAATTGATTACCCATTGTTATATAAATTATTTATTAAATTTTAATAAGATAATAATATTTTGAAACATAATTCTATTTATTCTATATATGCCATGTATTTGCTGATGTATATGCTGGTATATGTTACATGCACACCTTGTAATATGATATATATATTTTTTTATCTTTAAATATTTTTAATATATATATTATATATTGCAAAAGACGATAAAATGTTTGTTATTACTGTAAATCGAGATGAATGTTACCATAAGCTTCAATATGAAATCTTACATTGTCCATTATTCAAGAAAGATAGCAAGAACTGTGACTCTCTCTCTCTCTCTCTCTCTCTCTCTCTCTCTCTCTCTCTCTCTCTCTCTGCGCGCGCGCGCGCGTGTGTGTGCATGGTGTGTGTGTGTGTGTGTGTGTGTGTGTGTGTGTGTGTGTGTGTGTGAGAGTTGCACAGTAAACTCTCTTTTTCTAGGTAGTCAATATTTTCAAAAGTATATATTTTTCTCCTCAATTTTAGAAGCTTTGACAGATTTGATACCATTGAGTGTGAACTGCACGACGATGATAAGATAGATTCTCACTCACTTTATCTTTATATGTATAAAGCACAAGAATTCATCCAATTTCCTGAGTATGATTTTCTGCGACATCTTCGACCTCAATCAATGCTTTTCTCAGGGTACAAAAGAGTCCCTATAGCTTCGCTACAAACACATAGAAAGTTGCATCTATGTATTATATTATAGAATTTTGCATACTATTCATAAAATCACGGAATTGGAATAAGTATTAATATAGTCTGTAGCAATGATAATTTTTACAGTTGAGATGATAAATCTTGATTGCTAATTTTTGTACTTTAGCTTATTATGTACATAAATGACATAGCCTCTATGCCTTTATATAATAAGCTAAAGGTGTTTTAATTATTATTTATTCTTAACTATTATTTTAAGACTTTAAAACTTATTATTTTAGAGAATGTGAAATCTACTTGAATAAATGAGATACTTATATAAAAAAGAATAAAAAATATTATGGAGCATACTGTTATCATTTATTTCGTAGTTGTTTTGTTTCACAGAGCGTGTATCGTCTTCTTCCACAGTAAATTATTTATATTTGACTTTTTTTTCGTAATTTATATTAATTATAGTGAATTAAGAGATATATAAAATTGTTTATCAAGGTAAGTTTAAATAAGTAATTTTAAAAGACAGTTATATGTTATCTAATTTGCTTTAACAAATTTAACCAAATTTAGAAAATATCGTGTAAAAAAATGTGTAATAAATAAAGTATAATAAAATATAAAATTTAATAATTTTATTCTTTGATTTCACATGTTTATTTTTTTTTTATAGAATCTATAAGTCATATTGGGTATATATAATTTCGGTATAGAAATGGTCTTGACATGCCCAATGTTGCATGTGAATCATGATTTTATTGACTTTTATTAAAGATAAGAAATATTAATATAAATTATTAAATATAAATCTGCTTCCGGATATTACTGGAGAATTCTATTATAAATTACGATAATTATCTTTTTCTTTTCTGTCTTATTTTTGTATATTTCGTTTTTAATTATATAAAACATTACGATTAAGTTATACATCATATTTTTCTTTAACATCTACCAACGAAACTAATTATGCAACGAGGTTAATTATACAAACCTACTTACATTGATGATGACGCGATAATGAATGGTCTCCAATGTAGCTGGCATATGTAAAGTAAAATTTATAGTCAATGATTAACAGAAATTTATAAGCTTACATTAAATTTTCCAATGAATTTGCATTTTAAGAAAAATTACAAAAAGTTACAGAAAATAGTAGATATTTCTCTATTCAATTAATTGATATTAATAAAAGCTCTTTTAAAAAACAAAAAAGAGAAGAATATTCTATTACGCAATGTTAAGTAAAAATTTATTCAATATAAAAATTTATTTTTTTAGAAAATTTTGTTAGTTTAATTTTCTGTCATTAAAAAATTCAACAGATTTATTTAGAATATCTGTTTTTTAATAAATAGATATTTTTTTCTTGGCAAATTCACCATTATTAATTTTATTGCTATGATTAAAAATGTTATTAATATTAGAATTATTATTCTCTAAATCTGAATCAGTGGATAATCACTGATATCAGTGTCAAGTATGCCAGTGGTAATCAAATGAATTAAATATGAGATTCCTAACCTATATATATTAGCTAATCTTTATTATGATCTTACTAATCTTTGTTTTAGTGCTTAAATTCAATGAATATAGTATTGGAAGATTGAAATTAACGTGCAAATATCAATATTTTTTGTTATATAATACTCAAACATTCTTCCTTTTTTAGTTGAACTTCACTGATTATCAGTATACCATTGGGTAATTAGTAATTAGACTATTCATTAATTCAGATTTAGAAAGTAATTATTATTTATGAATATTTTAAGTATAAAATATTTAAAAGCTCTTTTTTTAAGTTATTATTCAAATTTACTATTATTAGAGTTTTAGCATTCAAATATTTTACATTCAATCTACATGACTATAATACGAGAGAATATGCCACAACGTCATCTGCATCATTGGATACATATTAATCATGGCAAAAAGTAATCAAATCGCGTTGCATAGAAACATAATTTAAACAGGATTTAAAGCTTAATTGCAGCATAAGAAAGGAAGGATAAAGCAACAGTTGTTAGTTCCATATAATATGAAAGGATGGCGCTGAGAAGTCCCAGCCAACTCACATTCCATTATTGATCCATCCCTCTGCATTCCTTTCGGAAAACAGCTCACTAGCCGTCGGTCGACAGCACGAAGTTTTTTCCTCTTCTGTCTTGATTTTGCTTCACCGTGACTCTAGCAAAAAAATTTATTTGAAGTTATGCGTGCGATCGTGGTCGTGAGTCATGAAAGAATTGATGATTATCTGGTAATTTTACTTTCCATTTGTTAAGCTTCCTCATGCAACTAAAGAAAATGTCAATGGGTTTTTTTCCCTTGTGATCTCGAGAAGGCGATTCCTATTAACAGATTTTATCAAATGTCGACGTAATCATATACATTTTTACACGTGCGAAGTCTCTTAAATAAATTATGAGAACGTTCGCAATACATGCAATGGATAAACAGAAAAGCGTAATTAGGCGCCTGTTATAAATGTAATAGAGTTATTTCAAGGAGAGTTACTATCTCATAATTGAGATATCATGCAAAAATGTAGGTATTATTAGAGATAATATTTATTTTAAAAAGTATAAAAGTCGAAATAGTTAGTCCTCTGAGAATTTTTATATAAGAACTTAAAAAAGAATTAAGATAGATTTCTAAGATATTTTTGAAAAACGAAAACGTCTTTTTATTCTTAAAACAATTATATTATTTGAAAATAAGTGTTAAAAAGATTGAACATCAAATCAAATTAAAATTTTAAGAAATTAAAAATCTATTTAATTTGTTAAAAACTAAGATTGTTAAAGACTAAATATTTCAGACTCTTAAAGAAGTTTTAAATGAAAATTTTATTATCTAAGAGTTCAAAGAATTAATGACTTGAGAGATTAAAAATGAAAACTGAAAAAGAAATTGAGAACAATACTTATTTTTGAAAAAAGTTAAAGATATAATTTATGATTATAAAAATAAATGTGAAAAGTCGGAAACAGAGGCCGAATAAAATGCTAATAGATCACTGTAATTACATCCGGCGATGTTGTATGCCGTGCTACATGATTGAAAATTCTCATCTGATTTTTATTTTTATTGAAATTTGATTTTGAGAGAAATAATTTATAATGTGTTGAATAAATTTAGCATTTCGCAATTACAATGATTGCGAAATGTTAAATTTATTGCAGTAATAACGTTCCATCATCAATTCATCATCAAGACCATCATCAATTTTAATTTTAATAAACATCTGTTTTCTTTTAAATTTTTGTTTATTGATGTAATCAAAAAATTCGATAAAGTGGCTGCACAAAGGTTAAAAAAAAACGTAAAGATAAAGTTTCATAAAATTAAAACAAAAAATTTTTATTATTTAAATTTAAATTTCTAAGAAGAAAAATTTTCAAAGTGAATTGTCGCGATATGATTTTGCTGGAAAAAGATACAATGGATTTTTAATTTTTTAATTATGCAAATTACAATATAATTGGAATTTCATGGAACAAAGACAGAAATAATTTCGTTAACTTTCTCTTATCGATTTTTAGTAAGTATATTGTATATTAAAAACTTTTTTAATATATTGCAATGATCTTTCAATAGTTATGCTGCCGCGACCTACTTTCTTTGATAT